AGCCCCCATCCATGCCCCCCCTGAAGCGCCCATTTGACTACATTCAGATCGGACATACTAACCTTTGGGAAACACACAGTAATAGATATGCGAGCCCCAGCCCCCATCGGGGGGCGGATGCAAGCGGCCATCGTTCAAGCGCACGCCCCTGATCGATTTATTCTCCGGATTGCGGTATTTCAGGCCGGAGGCCCCGGGAAACTGAGCGGACAAGGTGCTGAGCAACAGCGTGCCGTCGTCCTCGGTCGGGAGCTCGATCGGCTCCTCGCCCTCATCTTCGGCCACTTGCAAATACTCGATCGACATTCTTTCAACACTCCCCAATCACTCCTAGACACTTTCGCACCAATTTGGGGCCTGAAAACGGGGGGAACAGCCCTGTGCACACTACTCTCCACCAAGGTCAGCACACACAAAATGGCCGACCGGCACCGGAAGCCCGCTCGGAGTGACGCCAGTGCTGCCAACCTCGGCGAGGGCTGCCAATCAAACTGCACGGGCGTGGCCTGTGAAGCCGATTTATTCAAATAAACGACAATATAAATTTGAAAAAAAGTCGGCACCTAACTAAACGCATAGAACAGCATCAGGACGGTGCACAGAAACACCACCAGCCCGATGATGAAGGAATCGCGCCGTTTGCGGATGTTGATGCGATTGATCAGACTGTTGATCAGCGGGTATTTGTTGGAAATGTCATTAAATCGCGTCTGCAGCCGCTTGAACGTCTGGCGCTGACTGGACAGATGCTCCCGTGTTTCAACGGCGATGGCAATTTGCTCATTCACCAAATGGTCAGAGCTGCAACAAAACGGTTTGATTGGTTGTTTAGACCCCATCAGCGCCCTCTAGCCACCGGGAAACCTACTTGTGTATATGTTGGCTCTCCTTCAGGTAGATGTCGCGGCGGTTGTTGACGCCGTCGCCCCTAAAACTGTCCGTGCCGCCCTTCAGGAGATCCTCCCTCTCTCTTCTGCTCTCGTGTTGGGAGTTGGTTTTGCGGAAATCGCGCGCCAAATCGGCCATAATTTCCCGATGCCTCTGGATCGTGTGCAACATGGCAGCGCCGGAAACCGGCTGCTCGGCCAGCCGCTCATTCACCAAATTCAACTAAATCACCATCGGGTTTTCGCCTCCGACTACGTTCCCCACTTACTTTGTTCAGCAAATCCTCGATTTCCGCTGACATCGCCTCAAAAGTGTCCTCACCGGACAAGAGGGGCGTCGTGTCGCCATGGTGACTGTGGGGCGACTGGATGCCCGCCCCCAGTTTACTGAAGGCGACCAGCTTCAGGTCGATGGCGTTCTCCAGTTGGCGCGCTTGTTTCCTAAGGTCTGCGCCCAATCAAACGTTAACTCGACGCATAGGGGCGACCTTCACCGGTTTTACCTGCATACGACAGGGCTGTGGCCATTTTGGGGCTCCCACGCCGCAAAACACTTTGTCACTGACAGCCCCCCCTTGTTTGTAAACAGCTGATGACTGACTGACAACGTCGCTGTCAGCCAGGTTAGGTGCTAACCCGCGTGGAAAAGGACAGAGCTAGTGTGGGCAATAACACACTTCTTCCACTTTTCTGATAATTAATTAATTAACTTAACGATCCCCAACAGATCTATCACAACTACAGACCGTGCAGCCCATTTGGAACGTCCCACTATTGCAAAGGCTCAAATGATTGTTCTAAAAGTTGCGATGTTTGCAGCTCCAGGGAATGGGCGGGCGCAAAGGGCGGCAGCCCCTATTAGGCCTGCGGCGCCTTTGTTAGGGGCCCCATTAAAAACTTTTCGGACAAAAAACAACCGGCCTTAAAAGGCTAGAAGGGGGTTTGACCATGGCAAAAATCGCCCCCTGGGAGCGGAGCTATGGGCAAAATAACAGCGGCCTGCATTTGACGGGGGCGACGGTGTCAATTGCCGCCGCAGCGCCCTGGGAGCGCGTCGCATCCAAAAACCCTCCAAGCAAAAAACGCGGAGAATCCAACGAGCTTTCAGCCAGTTTTGGAATTTTCGAAATCGGGCGACTTTTTGGGGATGCCCGTCAAAGGGCGGCGATGTTATTCGGCCCACAGCTCCCTTGCCATCGGCCGCACCGTAAAACGTTTCGGACAAAAAACAACCGGCCCTTAAAGGGCTAGAAGGGGGTTTGACAATTGCAAAAATCGCCCCCCTGGGAGCGGAGCTATGGGCGCAATAACAGCGGGCTGCATTTGACGGGGGCGACGGTGTCAAATGCCGCCGCAGCGCCCTTGGGGCGCGTTGCATCCAAAAACCCCCCAAGCAAAAAACGCGCAGAATCCAACGAGCTTTCAGCCAGTTTTGGAATTTTTGAAATCGGGCGACTTTTTGGGGCTGCCCGTCAAAGGGCGGCGATGTTATTCGGCCCACAGCTCCCTTGCTATCGGCCGCAGCCAAAAACTTCCGGGACAAAAAACCTTGGCAATTCCGCGCACTTTCCGGGCATGGTCCAGTTGAGCCAATCGGGCGCGATTTCAGGGCAATTTCCCGGGAAAACCGGCTGGCAGTCGCCCAACAGAGACACCGCACACTAGTGTTTCATCGGCCAGCCAACCAGCGCCCGCGTTAAGTAACGAACTGCAGATGGGCATCGGTGGAGGTGGCGTTCTGCTCCATTTCCCGCAGGAGGGCGTCGGCGCGCTGGCGCGCCACTGTGGTGAATAGCGGCGCCGCCCCCATCAGGGCGTACGCGTTGCTGATGAAGCGAAACCGCAGCCCCAGCACGATGTTGAGGGCGGAGGCGTCATAGAAATGGCACCCCGAGTAGCTGGTGGAATCGGTAAGTTGCCAGGGCGTTTGGACGCGTTGCGGACTTACCGGTAAGAGGGCTTCTTGTCGAAGTTGCAGCCGGTGGACTGCGCCCCGATGGGGAAGATGCAGTCCTGGGTGAGCGCACACTGGACCCAGGGGAGCATGATGTCCTGGTGCACCTCCCGGGTGTTGACCAGGAAGAGCACGTCGGCTCTAACCTGAAAAACGGCCGCCCAATCAAACGGTCGCCCTTTGCGCAGCGCGCGCCTTACCATTTGGAGGAACTGGAAGTTTTCCGCATCGGTGCGGAAGTACTCGAACATTTTCTTGTGCGTCAAGCTGGTGACGGGGTTCTTGGCCGGAACGGGGAACGTGAGCACGCCCCGCTGCAGCGCCCGTTTCGCGAACAGCTCCATCATCAGGCCGTGGGTGACGTTGGGCAGGAAGCGCACGCCGCTGTCCACGTACAGAATGGCCCCGGTGCGGCTCAGCGCGTCCTGAAACAGCCCCAAAGTCTACTACTTGAAAGTTACACGGGATTTAGAAGAAAGTTCACTTGACAAACGCTAAAAATTTCTCGAAAATTCCCCAGAATCCTGATTTTTTGGGGCTACTCGCCTTCTAAGACGCCGACTCACCTGCAGAACCACTGGCCGGTAAGCGTGCAGCGCCTCGTCCTGCACATGCGCCGGGAAGTCGTACAGATCGAACGGCACAATCTGGCAACGTGAGCTGTTGCAGTAAGTCTGCAGCTGAAACATCCGGGCAACGCTAACTGGAGGGGGGCCCAAAAGTCACTCGAAACCTTACCACTTTCAGGCCGTACTCGCTCAGCCCCAGGTTATAGACAAGGATGGTGTTGTTGGGGAGCAGACGTGGCAACGTGGTGACCACGCCCACCGCCAGGCTCTCCTGTCCAGCGGTCACCATGGTGACCACCACCGGAAGCGAGGAGTTGCGCCAAACATCCGCCGGAAACAGGCGGGGCTGACGCTCCTGGAACCCCAGCAGGTCGAGCAGCTTCTGGTCGGCCACCAGCCTCTTGGACTCGGCGTCCCGCAGGTTGTCCTGCAGCCGAAACCCCGCGCTAAAAATGGGGCCCCCAAGCCCCCCAACCAAACACTCACCTTAAAGCTCTGGATCTGCTCATTGGTGCTGCTCACCAGGCTCTGAATCGTGTCGGGCTTGTGCTGGCCAAACACTAAAAAGCCCACACTGAGCGTCAGAATCACACTGAGAGTGACTAGGAAGTTTTTCGTTCTCATTGCATTGTCTGTCACTGGAATCACATGGCCCCCGGGGGAAAAGCGGCCCTGGCGGGGCTTCAAGCGCAAAAAGGGGGCTGTTTCGGCCCCAAAACCCTCATCTGACACAAGTGGGGTTAAACCATCAAACCGCACTGACTGACACTGGCAGAATGACGGGACGGGCGATTGACAGTGTGCCCGACTGTAGTGGCGCCGAGGTTTGGCAACGCCGCTCGCGCCTGGAGGGAAGCCTTTATTAATATGATTTAGCCCTTTGAGGGCTGGGGGCCCTTGAAATTCACACTCCAAAGCCACAAAGCCTTTAAAAAAATTACGCAGTTTTTTTGGCAGTAATCAGGGCAGAAATTGGCCAATTAGACTTGAGGCGAGGGCTGCTGTCTTTGTCGCACCCGCTATGGTCAATGCCTGTGGGCCGCCTGCTTTGCAAAAAATTCTTTTGGCTTAAAAGTTGCGTGAACTCACTCATTTTGAGCTCATTGAGGATTTTTTCAATCACCCGATAAACCATAAACTGCAGGCAAAATACGCAACTTTTTGCCCATGGCGCCTCAAGTGGCGATGCAACTGAAAAACATTTCAACTTTATTAAGGGCGCACGTCTAAAGGGCGGCCACGTTATTTGCCTCTACAGCGCCCTTATTAATGGTTGGATGCAAAAAATCCCAAAAAAAAATTGTAGAGGATTTTACCAGCGTTCAGCCAGTTGCTGATTTTTAGAAATCGGCTCACAAATACGCAAGTTATGCGCAATTAAGTAGGAGCACTTATTTAAAGCTGCGCGTTTTTGCCTCAAAACACTTTTGTAGACAATGCGAATAAAAAAATACCCAAACAAAAATTTATTACTTTTTGAAGCGCTTTAAAATAGTTTTGGAATTTTTCAAATCGGCCGGTAAACAGCCAACTTATTAAGGGCGCACTTCTAAAGGGCGGCCACGTTATTGGCCTCCACAGCGCCCTTATCGATGGTTGGATGAAAAAACTTCCAAAACAAAAAATGTAGCAAATTTAACTGGCTTTAAGCCAGTTTTTCAGGCTTAGAAATGCACAAACACATACGCAAGATATACCCAATTAAGTAAGACGTTGCACCTATTTAAAAGTGCGCTAGTTTTTGTCTCAAAACTCTTTTAGAGAAACTGCAAATAAAAAACCACCCGAACAAAAAATGATTACATTTTGAAGCGCTTTAAAGCAGTTTCGGAATTTTTCAAATCGGCCTGTAAACAGCCGAGCTATTAGGGGCGCACTCCTAAAGGGCGGCAACGCTATTAGCGTCCACAGCGCCCTTATGGCTGGTCGGATCCAAAAAGTGCCGAAACAAAAAATGTGGGGAATTTAACCAGCTGCAACCCCCCTTGGCAATTTTTAAAATCCCGTGGCCAATAACAAAGTGAGGCACAATTCAATGAGGGCATGCCCTTGCATAGAGCGCCGCTTCGCCTGGGCTCATGGCGCTGTTACGAAAAGCGGAAATAAAAAACTTCCCCAACCAAAAACATTGGCAAATTTCCGGCCTTTAAGGGCCTTTTGGATTTTTGAAAATCGCCCCCCAAATAGCGGGGTTATGGCATTTTCAATCGGGGATTCCATGCGAGCAAGGCGCTGCCGCCATTTGGCTCAAAGCAATTTTGCACAAAATCGCTCAAAAGCGGCCAATTTCCCAAAAAATTTTCAGGGCCACAAAGTGGCGTAGACTCGCGCGCTTGCACTCAAAGTGAGTTTTTTCCAATCGCCTTATGAACCGTCGAACAGCTGGCCGAAGTCGCCAATGTCAGCCCCTAGCGCCCTTAGGGGCGGCGCAGCCGAAAAACCCCCGCTAGAAAAAACGTGCCGCACCCCAAGGGCTTGAAGGCCCTTTTTGAATTTTTGAAATCGCCCCACACCTAACGGAGTTGGAGCGCAAAAGGCCGCGGGCGCCAATAGAAAGGCGCCAATCTACGCCGATGCTAATCGTGCATCGAAGTAGGCCAGATGGGCAGTTAAAGGGTTTAGTCCGAGCGCAAATGGTCGGTTTGCACCAGAAGGGCGCAAGCCCGCCCGAAGCAAGTTCGGGCGGCTTCGGGCCGCCCCCGCCGTCCCCTTCGGGCCGTCCGGCTCCGTTCGCCCACTCGGGCCCCCATCTGGAACATGCCCGCGGACTATTAAGGAAGAAAGCAATAAAATAACAATCGCGATTGGGACGTTCCCTTCGAATTAGTGTCCAAATGGGGAAAATTACGACCATAATTATCGGCCACCGTCCACCAGTCCAGATGTATAAAAGCGCATCGGTGGCCTTTGCAGCATCAGTGCGCCTCATCGACTCTTCTTCTTCAAACAAGTGCAAGATGTTCTGCAAGGGGGTGAGTAGCGGTCGCCCTTTTCCAGCCGAAGTGGCCCCAGTCGACCGAGCCCCCGATTTCACCCAAACGGGCCTCGGTTGACCGAGTCGCCCTTTTTTTAACCCGGTCGCCCTTTCCTTTTTCAGTTCGCCGTGATGTTCCTGGTCGTGGGTGTTGCGCTGGCGGCGCCGCACGCCGCCAAGCGCAGCGTCTTTGAAGCGGGCTTCGGCTTCAACTCCTTCGAGCACAGCGCCAGCGGGGGCGGCAGCCCCTTTTCATCGCCGCCCATTTCTTTCGTACGTTTTGATCCACCCGCACTGAGCGAAGCTCCCTCTAACTATTGTTGTTTTCCAAGAAATCCTTCCATGGCCCCCCACCAGTCTCTCCAGGGGAGATCGCGTCGGCCATTCAGGCGGCCAAAGAGGCGTCGGCCAACGTGATGGCGGCGCAGCGTCGCGTCCAGGAGGCGAAGCAGGAGGTGCTGCAGGAGCAGCACGCCGCCAGCCAGAAGCAGGCGGATGCAGCGCTTGCGCTGCAGAAAACCGAAGCGGCCGCAGCGGTGCAGCAGCAAGAGTCCAAGGCGGCCGCCCAATCGGTGGTGCGGGCGCAGCAGCGGCTGGCGCAGGCCAAAAGCGAGGTGTCGGAGGCGCAGCGCGTGGCCGCCCACAAGGAAGCGCATGCGGCCGCCCTTATTCAGAAAAGCGCCAGCGCTGCCGCCCATGAGATTCAGAGGAACGGTTAGTGAAACTCTGCGCTTCGACACCGACCTAACAGTTGCACATTCCAGACGATGCCGCCCGCAAGATTTCAGCCATTCAGAGCCAGGGAAGTGCAGCCATTCGGCAGGCGGCTGCATCCAAACAGGGCTCCCTGACGGCCGCCTCGGCTGCAGTGGCTGCAGCTCAAGACCATGGCGACTCGGCTGCAGGCCCCTGGTTCGGCTCCAAGGTCATCCATCTGCAGCCCTGGGGTTAAGGCCGCCCTGGGCGACCACTAGACTTAGCCTGTTGTTATGTTAGCTACTTGTTATGGGTGGGAATATGTATAAATATACCTCATTTTGTTGATTTTTGGGGTGCTTTTTTACTCGCAGTTGACTGCAGCAAACGAAAAGTTGAAATCTGTCTCCCCAAAAATAACGCGCTTTCAAGCAGCTTTCAGACAGTTTTTGAATTTTGAAAATCGGCCCCAAAACAACCGAGCTATAGCCAATTGAATGGGAGCACGCACTTCTAAAGGGCGTCCATGTTATTTTTTTCTCTAGCGCCCTTGTTGACAGTCCGTTCGAAAAACTTCCTGCACACAAACCAAAGAGTGTTTTAAGGGCTTTGAGGCGGTTTTTGAATTTTTGAAATCCGCCCTTAAAAAGCCGAGCTATGCGCAAAAGAAGGCAGCGCTGCACTTCCAAAGGGCGTCAATATTATTTGCCCTGCAGCGCCCTTACCGATGGTTCCTTTGAAAAACTTCCTACACAAAAAAACAGGGGCGTCCAAAGGGCTTTAAGGCCGTTGGTGAATTTTGCAAATCCCCACTTAAACAGTCGAGTTATCACACTTTCAAGGGCGTCAATGTTGCTTGCTTTTTCAAAATAGTGTTGGAGTTGTTGCAATCAAAAATTTTCCAAAACCAAAAATGAACAGTAAAACGATTTAAGACAGTTTTTGAATTTTTTTGACTCACGGCAACTTTTAAAGGGCGTCCTTGTTATTTGCCTCATACCGTCCCTATTGATTGTGCAATTGAAAAAGTTTCTGGAAACAAAACGAAGATTTTGCAAAGGGCTTTAAGGGCCTGCTTGAAATTTTGGACCAATCCCAAGACAACCCAGCCATCAGCCAAAGGCACTGATGTGCACCGCAAAAGAGCGTCAATGTTATTCGCCCCCATACCACCCTTGTTGATTGTATGTTCAAAAAATTGTTCAAACAACAATTGAAGGGCATTCAAAGTTCTTCAAGCCAGTTTTTCAACTTTCAAAATCGCACGTCAAACAGCCGAGCTATGGCCAAATCAAACAGCAGTTGCGCTTCTAAAGGTCGTCAATTTTAACAGGGCAATTGGAAGTTTTCAGCGTCTGAAACTGTCCGGCTTTGAAACTTTGCTATAAACTGTCAATTTTTTTTAAAGGGCGACCACCTTATTGGCTCCTTTGCGCCGTAACTGATAACTTTACGAAATAACTTTGACAGCAAAAATCTATATCCTTCCAAGGCTTCAGGAAATTTTTGGAATTTTTGAAATCGGCTCATAGACACCCACGCCACGCCCATAGAAGCATTGTGCGGTCCTTCTAAAGGGCGTCCTTGTTATTTTGCGCTCTAGCTCCGTTGCTATTGACTGAATCAAAAAACTTCCCCAACAGAAAATCACGAGAATTTCACGGGCCTTGAGGGGATTTTGGAGCTTTGAAAATCGCCCCTGAATTAATGGAGTTATGAGCACTTAAGTGCTCAGGGGTTGGGAGCTTGAATTTGGATGCCAAGCGGTTCACTCGGCTTAAGTGGCCGAAACTCCATAACGCATGGTGCGAATGGAAAAATTCAAAAACCCCATCAAAGCCCAGATAAGTGGCTTTAATTTTGCTGTTAGGGGTTTTTTCGTTATGGGCCCCCCGAGTGAACCTGGGAGCCGCGAATCAACCGTTCCTTATTGGTCAACCGCCAACGGCGGTTGGCAAGTGTTATTTTTTAATTTTTTCCAGGAAAACCAGAGGTGCTACGCAAAAAACGCTAGGGACCGAAAACATTGCCAAGGCCCCACCCCAGCTGGGCAAATATTTTTTTTTGAAATCGAGCGGGGGGTTTTGGAAAAACAGCCCTTTAAGCCAGCTGGGCAGCAGCTGATGTAAATCCTGTTCCACTGGAGCCACTGGTCAACTCCCCGTAACTTTGGCGCTAATTATGCGATTCGGACCAGCCAAAACCCGTCGGAAAGCGCCTTTCAATGCGGCTGTTTTCCAATCTGGGAGTTTTCCCAGGCGACTTTCCGCTAAGGAGTTGCAGGCCAAAGAAGTTGGTGATTGCAAACCCAGTCATGTTGGCCAAGTGCTTGGAGAAATTAATGATTTCTGGCCCCAGGGGGGGCCGCACTCAAAAAACGATGGGGAGCAAAAATGTCCCCAAAGACCCCAGCTTTGCAGGGCTGTGACCGGTTTCCCCCCACTCCCACCCCAGCGCCCACAGTGGGCAAATTCCCCCGGGCGCTCCCATGTCCAGCCAAACAACGCCTGGTACGACCACAAAATAGCCGGAAAAAGGCCGAAAATGGGCAAAAACCCGGCCATTTCTTCGTCGTCGATTGTCGGCCAACCTCAGCGGCTGCTGAAGAAATGGCAAATTGCTCTTGACCATTGCAGGAACGCGAAAAGTAGCTGAAATTGGCCAGTTTTCACTGCGACCGCACAAAAACCTGCCCAATTTCGTCACGCCAATTCGTTCCCCTTCAAGCCACTATTTACCTACAAACAGATAAAAACGGTCAGTCGTTCAGTCGCTTCAGTCTGTTCACTTCAGTGCTTCAAACCGTGCGCAAATGCTGCTGTTGCTCGTCCTGCTCCAGCTGGGGCTGCCGCCCTTCCAAGCCGCCCCCGACGCCGCCCCCGAGGCGCTGCTCTTCTACGTGGACAGCGCGCCCGCCCCCAGCCGCCCCAAGCCGCTCGCGCTCCTCTCCCTACAGCCGCCCCTGCAGGTCAGTCGCCCTTTCTGCTCCCCCCAGTCCCTTACCGATGTTGCAGGAGCAGCAGGTGGCCGAGCACGTGAAGCAGCTGTTCGAGCCGCCCGGGGCGCCCGAGCGCGCCCACCTGCTCGCCCAGGGCACGCAGGTGCTCCCCAGGCAGGCGCCCGGCCGCTTCGTCTACCTCAATGGGCGCCCGGGGCTCAACCAGTCGCCCATCGTGCCGGAGGACCGCGTGAACCCGGGCAGCGTCTACCATCAGCGCGTCTACCACAATCAGCAGAAGATTCCGCTGCTCGCTTACGGCCCGCGCGCCCAGCAGGCGCCCAGGAACACGTTCTTTGCCAGCGCGCCCAGGGCGGCGCCCCAGCGCCCGCCCCATCAGCTGCAGCAGATCGACCGCCCTTCTGCGCCCCCGCCACCAGCCGAGGAGGAAGAAGACGACGCGGAGGAGGAGGAGGAGGAGGAGGACGCCCCGGAAAACCTGGAAGAAGACGAAGATGAGGACAACAAAGACGACAACTCAGGTACTGTTGGGGAAAACCCTTCAAACCCTTCACTCACTCCTCCCCCCCTCTCCCGGACAGACGCAGAAGCAGAAGAAGACCCCGAGGACGCAAAAGAAGAAGAAGAAGACGAGGAAGAATCATCCGACGAGCATTTCTTCAGCCCGCGGCCGAAGTTCCGCAAGTTCCGCTACGAGAGCGACAAGGACGACGCCGAGGACACCGACGAGAGCAAGCAGAGCGTCAACTACCAGCAGCCGCCCCCGAAGAAGAAGAAGAAGAAGAGCAAAGGGGCGGGCGCAGGGCCGGAGGGCGGCTACTCGCACCTGGCGCCTGTCACGCACCAGCAGAAGATCTACAAGGAGCGCTGGTACCTGAGCAGAGACCTAGAGGGCGCCGCCGGCCGCAGGCTCAGCTGAAGGGCGGCGCCCGCCCTTTTCCGCCTCTAGTCTTGCCGCCTCTTGTTGGGTTGAATGGTCAATAAAGCCTTGTGTGCCCATGTGGTTAACCTCAATTTGCTCTCTGCCCTCTGGAGCTGGGGGGCTGCAATTTTCACCACCGCTAGGGGGCCATTCGCCCCCCACCCGGAGAAATTTGGGAGCCTCTGCGAGGCTCCAGTGGGGCGCGGCGATTTTTCAAACTTTCCCCAACAAGCTTGCGCGAAAACTGAGCAAGGGGTTTTTAAAAAAAATCTTCCCTTCCACTGCTGCGCAGCTGCAAGGCTGCAAGTTGGAGCACGCCTAGGGCGACCTTGGCCCTACCGATGGGGGGAGCGGGAGTCCCCAAGGGGGCGGGTCTGGGGGAGTTTTGGGGATTTTTCCAGTGGCCGCCCCAAAGGCTGCATGGCGGCCAAACAGCGCGCAGCACTTGAAAAATCGCCCCTTCACCCCCTGAGCAGGTAGAAGCCTCAAATTTTTTGCAGTTGATAGAGCACAGGGTGCTCTATTCGCAGCAGGCGACCCGCAGGTTTGCTGGCGGTAGGCCAGGTTGGGCGAGTTTTTAAAGTCGGCTTCCCAAGCCTGCTGTTGGTGTAGTGCAAGCTCGCACAAAAAAAATCGCCCTTCCGCGCCCTCAAGAGACACCTCCCAGAAAATAGAGCCCCGGATAGAGCGTAAACGGCTCTAACCTGCAGTAAATTTGCAGCTGTGCATCCGGCTCTAAGAGAGCAGGGGAATTTTTCAAACCTTGCCCAACCAAATCGCTTGGGAAATGGGCAGGGTAAAATTTAGAGTTGTGCCCTTAGCTCCGTGGCAGAGCTGGAGGGCTGCAATTTTTTGTGAGTATAGAGCCAGGAGCCGTCGATAACCAGGAAGAAATCTGGTTGTCCCGAAAGTAGAGGAAATTTTTGGGAATTTTTTCAAGTTTGGGCTAACAAACTTTTCGAAAAAAGTTGAAGCTCCGATTTAAAAATTTCCCATTTCCTTGCGAGAGCAGCTGGAGGGCCGCAATTTGCCCCAGACTTAGAGCCACAGACTGGCTATCAGTGGCGAAAATTTCAGCCTTTTACGCAAATTAATTAAGACAATTTTGCATTTATCCCAGCTTGCACCTGAACCGTCCACTGCAACTCTGCAGCAAGCAATAATTTAAAAAATCGCTCTCTAAAGCCCTGAGCCGATAGAGCACTCAGGTTTTTTGCCAGGATAGAGCAAAGACGACTCTATTTCCACAAAAAAAGCTGGCGCCCCATAACATACAGGGACGTTTTGGGAATTTTTTTCATGTTGGGCGAACAAACTTTTCGAAAAAAAGTTGAAGCTCCGTTTTAAAAAATTGCCATTTTCTTGCTAGAGCAGCTGGAGGGCTGCAATTTGCACCATATTTAGAGCCAAAGCCTGGCTACTAATGGCGAAAATTTCAGCCTTTTACGCAAATTAATTAAGACAATTTCGGATTTTTTCCAGCTTGCAGCTGAACCGTCCACTACAGCTCTGCAGCAAGCAATACTTTAAAAAATCGCCCCGTGAAGCGCTAAGCAGCTAGAGCTCTGAAATTTCCTCTGGAAATAGATCGAAAACCCGCCAATCACGGGAAAAAATCCGGGCGCTCTAGAAAAATCGGGCAATTTTTGGCAATTTTTAAAAGCCCTGGCCAACAAACAAGTTGGGAAAAATGCCAACCTCCATTTCATAAATTCGCCATTGCCACACCGGAGCCGATAGCGGGCCGAAATTTTGGGCCCAAATAGAGCAATAATTCCCCGATCGGACCCCAAAACTCTCCCCAACTTCCCCCGGTTCAAACACCAGCAACTGGGGCAATTTCCTCCGAATGCGAAAACTCCCTTTTGGGGCGCATTCCCCCGCTCCCTGCGCCCTAATTGACAGCTGCCGCCCTGCCCAACAGACACCTGTCAGCTGTCACATTGTTGTTCCCATTAATTGTTTGCGGCGCCTACTTGAAACCGATTGAAAGTGCCACTGTGGACTTTCACTTGTTTGGCCTGCTTCGATCGGTCAAAGCAAAACCGCCGACAAAAACGCATCGGTTTTTTCGCCAAGTGAAAGTCCTGCAGGTTGATCAACCGCCACACGCCAAACAAGCGAATAAATCGGGCGTTTTTGGCCGCATCCAGCCGGCAAAGCTGGATGAAAGGATCAAATCAATAGCAGGCTTAGAGGGTTGCCAGGGCGACTGCTGATCCAGGGCCGTAACTGGGGCGCAGCTGCAGAGCACGGGGACTCTGTGCAGCTTCAGCTGCACCCGAAAAATCCAGTCCCGGCCTGCATGCGTTTCGGCTGCGGGCTGCAGTAGTGAGTGGGCGCACGCTGAGCAAACATCTGGAACATGTGGGGAAAGTCGCCCAATTTACGGGTTTTCTGGGTGTTTTGGGGGGTTTTTTGGACGGCAGTCCTGGGGGAGCGCGACTGGTCGCCCAATCCGACCATTTTCAACATCGGGGGCGTGTTGAGCAACAACGAAAGCAAGGCTTTGTTCAAGGAGACCATCGATGTGAGTGGGGCGAATGGGGGCGGTTTTGGGGGGAACGCGACTGATTTTGGGGCGCTTTCAGCACCTGAACTTCGACTCCAGCTTTGTCCCCAAAGGGGTCACCTACTACAACACGGCGATTCTGATGGATTCGAACCCCATCCGCACGGCACTGAATGTGTGCCAGTTTCTCATTTCGAAGCAGGTGAGCCGCTTTGATTGTCCATTTCTCCCCCACAAATCGGGGGATTTTCTGCCCGAAACCCACATTGGAGAGCAAATTTAATTCTCTTCAAAATACCCGAAAGCGATTTTTTGGGCGCGTCAAAACAACGCGGCCAGCGCCCAGTTTGCGGAAGCAACCCCAAGCGAAGCTTGCTCCACAGTTATTTACCCATAACTCAGTTACACCTGGGTCGATTTTACCACAACAACCTTCCCTAGGCCAAGAATTGAAAACTCGTCAACTCTTGTTTGAGAAGTTTTTTGATCCCATCATCTGGAACTCCGCGGCGAACCAAATTACCGAAACAACACCCAGAAAAAAATTCTGAAGTTGGTTTTGCCGATAACTCAGTCACCCTTTGCAGGATTTTAAGCTGGATATCAGCACTAGATTGCCAATTTAAAGCGCTACAATTTTCAGAAAAACAGTTTTGCCCTAGCTCCACTGGCAACAGCGCGGGGAGTGAGTTTTCGCAAACACGCCTACTCAAGTTTTGCCCAAGAGTCTTTGGCCCATAGCTCCGTTAACCTTTGCTCAATTTGATCCCCAAGGCCCTCATAGGAAAGAGCATTTAAACCTCCTAAACTTTTGTTTGAACAGTTTTTCTCTTGTCACGTCTCTAAACACGGGGGGAGCCAGTTTTGCAAACACGTCCTCACAAACTTTACCGAGTGGTCTTTTGTCCATTACCCCGCTAAAATTCTCGCAATGGCAACCTTGACGTGAAAGATAATTAAAAACTCTTAACTAGAGTTTTAAAAGTTTTTTCGAGAATCGTCACAAAACACGCAAAAACCAGTTTTTGCAAACAAAAAATTAGGCCACGAGTCCTTTACTCATTGCTCCGCTAAACTTTGCTCGATTTGATTGCTGATACCCTGCGAAGAAAGACAATGGAAAACTCTTCAACTTTCGTTTACACAGTTTTTCTCCATTCACGCCAGGAAAGACAGAGGGGGGCGAGTTTTCGCAACCACATCCACACGAAAGTTACCCAAAACTCCTCGGGCCATTACTCCGTTAAACTTCGCTCGATTTGATCCGGAAAACCCTCACAAGAAAGATAATGGAAAACTCCTCAACTTTTGTTTGGACAGTTTTTTTCCGGTCTCGTCAATAAACCCACGGGGAGCAAGTTTTCGCAAACACCGCCAAACAAGTTTTCCCAAGAGTATTTTGCCAATAACTCAGTCACCCGTCACTCCATGGTACTGAGAATATGTCACCTGCAAAGAGCACTTAAAACCCTTTAACTGTCGTTTAGACAGTTTTTTCCTAGTGCCGTGCGGAAACACGCGGGGGATGCTTATGGAAACTGGTCCACCCAAATGTTGCCCCAGAGTCTTTTGCCCATAACTCCGCCCCCCTATCATCAATAAAACTGCTAATACCCTTACGGGAAAGAGAATTAAACCCTCTTCAACTACCTCAAAAAATTTTGGGAAAACTCCCACCAATAACAGAGCTCTGGCCACTTTTCCGCAGGTCTACGCTGTAGTAGTGTCCCATCCGCTCATCGGTGACCTTTCGCCAGCGGCCGTCTCCTACACGAGCGGCTTCTACCACATTCCGGTCATTGGGATCTCATCGCGCGACTCCGCATTCTCCGACAAGGCAAGTGCGCCCCTCAAAAGCCTCAAATCGCCTCAAAACCCCACCTTTCACAACCTTTCGCAGAACATCCACGTGTCCTTCCTCAGAACGGTGCCGCCCTACTCCCATCAGGCGGACGTTTGGGTCGAGATGCTCAAGCATTTCAACTACAAGAAAATCATTTTCATCCACAGCTCGGACACGGACGGACGTGCCATTCTTGGACGCTTCCAGACCACGTCCCAAAGTCTGGAGGATGATATTGAGATCAAAGTCCAGGTACTGATTAGGTTAGACGGGGTTGTCAAGGTAACCGCACGGTTTCCATGGTTTTGAAGGTGGAAACTGTCATTGAGTTCGAGACGGGGCTGAGCAGTTTCCGCGACCACTTGATTGAGATGAAAAACGCGCAGGCGCGCGTCTACTTGATGTACGCCAAGTGAGTGGTTCCTTCTGACGTTTGTTCACGCACGATGCATCGAAACTGGGCTATTTCCAGCAAAAACGACGCCAAGGTCATCTTCAAGGACGCGGCGTCCTTGAACATGACGGACGCCGGATACGCCTGGATCGTCACTGAGCAGGCGCTGGAAGCCGACAATGTTCCCGAAGGAATCCTGGGACTGAAGCTGGTGAATGCCACCAATGAACGGGCCCACATCCGGGACAGCATGTGAGTATTTGGACGGAAAATGTGCTCTAATCTTATAGGAAATTTCCTCAGGAATCCAGTGGTGTTTTCGGATTTTCAATAGCATCAAAACTAACAAAGTTGCATCAATTTTCCAACTCGTAAGCCCCATATCCTGCAGGTTCCGACCGCAATGTTTCCGCTAAAAAACAAGTCTTGTAGGAAATTTCCTCAGGAATCCAGTGGTGTTTTCGGATTTTCAATAGCATCAAAACTAACGAAGTTGCATCAATTTTCCAACTCATAACCCCCATATCCTGCAGGTTCCGACCGCAATTTTTCCGCTGACAGACGGGTCTTATAGGAAATTTCCTCAGCAATCCAGTGGTGTTTGCCGTTTTTCAATAGCATCAAAACCAACAAAGTTGCTCAAAAAAAAATCCTCAAATTAAAACCCTCATATCTCCCATGTTTGTGGCGCAATTTTCCCGCTCCAAATGCRGTCYGAMAGGAAATTTKCYCGGCCATTCAATRGCGTKRAGAATTYYTCAATTTSACCTCAACCMACAAARCTAACCTCAACTCATGCGTCATAAAAACGCTCTGGTTRCCAAGTKCCCCAGCARTKCAATAGCGTTGGCTCAGTTTCAATTGCACCRGAACCCGGCSAGTTGCAYSGTGAGAATCTCCACTCCAAACGCTGAAATCTCGCAGGTTTTTTGCGCAATTTTCCCAGCTCAAACTGGGTCTTATAGGAAATTTCCTCAGGAATCCAGTGGAGTTGGCGGTTTTTCAATAGCACCAAAACTAACCAAGTTGCGCCCTCAATGCCCAACACTTTAACCGCTTATAACTCCCACAGTTTTGCAGCAAATGCCCGGGTAAAAACTGGGTCCTACAGGAAATTTCCTCGGCAATCCGACGCCATCAAAGCTCTCCTGCCTGCATCAACCCTAACCTCACACTCGTTTCCAGATACGTGCTGGCGTCAGCGCTGCGCGACATGAACCAAAGCAAAGAGATCACAGCGGCGCCCAAAGACTGCGACAACTCGGGCGCCACCTGGGAGACGGGCCGCCAACTGTTCACCTTCATCAAGAAACAGGTGCTGATCAATGGGGAGACTGGCAAGGTGGCGTTTGATGATCAGGGCGATCGCATCAATGCCGAGTACAACATTGTCAACGTCCAGAGGAAGAAGAAGAAAGTGGTGGTGGGGCGGCACTTTTACAACAAGGTAGGGGCCTTGGCCACGCCCCCAGCTTCTGCTGGTTGAACTGTGGGGCTTTCAGCAAACGGACCGCATGCATTTGGGCGTCGACGAAAAAATCATCGTGTGGCCGGGCCGGCAAAACGTCAAACCTGAAGGCTTCATGATCCCCACCCACCTCAAAGTGCTCACCATTGAGGAGAAGCCGTTCGTCTACGTGCGGAGAATTGAGGGGCCAGGCACGTGCGACCACGACGAAATTCCCTGTCCCCACTTCAATGGGACGCACGATCGTAAGTGTTGTGGGTGGCGGTCGCCCTTTTGGTGGTGTCAGTCGCCCCCTTTTTCCCCCAGTGACTGCCAAGTACTGCTGCAAGGGCTACTGCATGGATCTGCTCAAGGAGCTGTCCAAGAAGATCAACTTCACCTACAGTTTGGCGCTGTCGCCTGATGGTCAGTTTGGGAGCTACGCCCTGTGGAACACCTCCATCAAGAAGGAGTGGAACGGGCTGATCGGGGAGCTGGTGAGCGAGAGGGCGGACATGATAGTCGCCCCATTGACCATCAGCCCGGAGCGCGCGGAGTTTATCGAGTTCAGCAAGCCCTTCAAGTACCAGGGCATCACCATTCTGGAGAAAAAGGTGCGTGTCTTTTGGCTCATAACTTCGCCAATGTGGGCTTGATTTCGTCCGGAAATATCGCAATCGAACGGGAATTTTACCCTCTAGAAATTTACTAGAGCGAGTTTTTTTGCTACAAGCAGCAGCAACCACGCCGGGGACCAGTTTCCGCATTGCCCGCCAAAACCACCAGATTTTGTGAAGTTTTTTTGTCCATAACTCAGTTACCCTTTGCGGGATTTTATTGGAAATACCTCAGTTTCATGGAGAATTGAAAACTCTTCATCTTTTGCTTAAGGAGTTTTTGTCCAATTTCAACAGCAACCACGCGGGGGGTGAGTTTTCGCAACCGCGTCCACACAAATTTAACCTAAACCTTGTGGGCCATAACTCATTTAGGCCTGGGTGGATTTATTAGTAAAACTACAACTGGAAAGCAAATCCAACGCTGTTCCAGTTCCAACTTTTTCGTTAGGTTTGTAACCAGTTCTCCCAAAAACAAGTTATTTTCACAACTCTTTTGCCCATAGCTCCTTTACACCTCACAGCATTTCATTCGCAAAACATCTAATGGACGGGGATGAGAATACTCTTGATCTTTCACTTTTTCAAGCAAAAAGGAGTTTTTGCGTAGCTTCTGCAGGAACCACGACAGGAGCCAGTTTTCGCAACCACCTCCAAAACAAGACTTTCAAAGACTCTTTTACCCATCACTCATTTATGCCCCGCAATCTGTCACTCGCCAAACATAGAATAAAAAGAGAATTGATTGGCCTTCAACTGTGCCTTAAACGTTTGTTCGTAATGTCATCAGCAACCACGAGAGGAGAGAGTTTTCGCAAACATAGTTTTACCAGTGGGTTTTTTGTCCTTAACTTAGTGACGCTTTGCGCGATTTTTTTGCAAATACCTCGGCTACAAAGGGAATTGAAGACTCTTTAATTTTGGTTTAAACTGTTTTTCTCTAGTTCCATCAGCGACCACGCGGGGGGTAAACGCGTCCGCGCAAATTTTGCCCAAACGTTTTTTGCCCATAACTCGGTTGAGCGTTGCCCGATTTTATCCAAAAAACCCTTATGAGAAAGAGAATTGGAAACTCTTCAACTTTTGTTCAGCCCGTTTTTCTCTAGTCCCGCCCGGAAACACGCGGGGGGTGAGTTTTCGCACACCCAAACTCGTCTTTTTTGCAATTTCAGCCCTCCAGGTCTTCGACGCTGGTTTCCTTCCTGCAACCGTTCAGCAACACCCTGTGGATCCTGGTGATGGTGTCCGTCCACGTGGTGGCGCTGGTGCTCTACCTACTAGACCGCTTCTCGCCGTTCGGGCGCTTCAAGCTGGCCAACACAGATGGCACTGAGGAGGACGCGCTCAACCTCTCCAGCGCCATCTGGTTCGCCTGGGGCGTCCTCCTCAACAGCGGCATCGGCGAAGGTACCACCCACTGCCTGACGTAATGAAGCGCTTCTCCACGCTGATTGGCCGGATTTTGTAGGCACGCCCCGCAGCTTCTCCGCCCGCGTATTGGGCATGGTGTGGGCGGGCTTCGCCATGATCATTGTGGCCTCCTACACGGCGAATCTGGCGGCTTTCCTGGTGCTGGAACGGCCCAAAACCAAACTGACTGGGATCAACGATGCGCGAGTAAGTGAGCGGAAGTGAGAGAGAGGAGGCAGGTGAACGTAAGCCACTGACTGGTTGGTTTAGCTGCGCAACACCATGGAGAACCTGACGTGCGCCACTGTGCGCAGCTCGGCCGTTGATATGTACTTCCGCCGACAGGTGGAGCTGAGCAACATGTACCGGACGATGGAGGCGAACAACTACGATACGGCAGAGCGCGCCATTGCCGACGTCAAGGCCGGGTAAGGCGGGCGCTGGAATGTCCAGGTTTGCAAGGTCTTATAGGAGAATTCCTCAGAAATCCAGCGGTGTTTGAATTTTTTCAATAGCACCAAAACTAACCGAGTTGCGTCTGCGAAAGTTCCCAATTTCAAACGCTGATATTTGCCTGGTTTTTTCATCGATTTTCTTGTGGAAAACCGGGTCTTATGGGAAATTTCCTCGGGAATTCAGTGGTGCTGGGCGTTTTCCAATAGCATCAAAACTGACCGAGTTGCCCCAAATTTCCCATCCAAAGCTTCAATATCTTCCAAGTTTGCTAAGCAATTTTTACGGGAAAAATGTGGTCTTACAGGAAATTTCCTCAGGAATCCAACGGTGCTTGATTTTTTTCAATAGCACCAAAACTAACCAAGTTGCGTCTGCAAAAATTCCCAATTTCAAACGCTGATATTTGCCAGGTTTCTTTAGCGATTTTCTTGCGAAAAACACAGTCTGAAAGAAAATTTCCTCGGGAATTCAACGATGCTGAATGTTTATCAATAGCATCAAAACTGACAAAGTTGCCCCAAATTTCCCATCCAAAGCTTCAATATCTTCCACGTTTGCTGAGCAATTTTTACGGGAAAAATGTCGGCTTAGAGGAAATTTTCTCAGGAATCCAACGGTGTTTGATTTTTTTCAATAGCACCAAAACTGACCAAGTTGCGTCTGCAAAAATTCCCAATTTCAAACGCTGATATTTGCCAGGTTCCTCAAGCGATGTTCTTGCGGAACAGGGTCTGATAGGAAATTTCCTCGGAAATTCAGTGGTGCTGGGCGTTTTTCAATAGCATCAAAACTGACCAAGTTGCCCCAAACTTACCATCCAAAGCTGCGATATCTTCCAAGTTGCTTAAGCAATTTTTCCGAAAATAATGGGGTCTTACAGGAAACTTCCTCACGAATCCAACGGTGTTTGACTTTTATCAATAGCACCAAAACTAACCAAGTTTCATCTGCAAAACTGCGCAACTTCAAACGCTGATATCTCCCACAATCCTTAAGCGATTTTTCCGCTGAAAACACCATCGGGCAGGAAATTTCCTCAGCAATTCAACGGCGTCGAGCGTTTTTCAATAGCACCAAAACTAACAAAGTCGCGTCCAAAAAAGTCGCCGCCAACATTGACTAGTTGCGATTGCAGCCACCTGATGGCGTTCATCTGGGACAGCTCGCGGCTGGAGTTCGAGGCTGCGCAAGACTGCGAGCTGGTGACGGCTGGCGAGCTGTTTGGGCGCTCCGGCTACGGAATCGGGCTGCAAAAAGGCTCCCCATGGGCGGACGACGTCACCCTGGCCATCCTCGATTTGCACGAAGGTCCGCCCCCAATCCCCACCACCTTCCCCCACCCGACAGCTAACCAATGAGGTTTGCAGGCGGTTTCATGGAGGGGCTGGACAACAAGTGGATCCTGCAGGGCAACACGCAACAGTGCGAACAGTTCGAGAAAACGCCCAACACTTTGGGCCTGAAAAACATGGCGGGGGTATTCATACTGGTGGGGGCCGGCATAGTGGGGGGCATGGGCCTGATTGTCATCGAGATGATCTACAAGAAGCACCAGATGAAGAAGCAGAAGCGCATGGAGTTGGCGCGCCACGCGGCTGACAAGTGGAGGGGGTGTGTCGAGGTTGGCCACTCCCACTTTCCCCCACTCCCGACCTCCCCATCGCTGATTTTGCCCTGGTTTCAGAAGCGCAAGACCTTGAGGGCGGCGGCGTTGCCGCAGCGCCGCATCAAATCGAACGGCGTGAACGAGCCGGTCACCATTTCGCATGTGGTGGACAAGTTCCAGCGCATCGGCCCGCCCGAGAGGGCGTGGCCTGGCGATGTGGACATCCGGCAACGCCGGAACGACGAGGGCGTGGCCCCGCCCATCCCCCGCTACCTGCCCGGCTACACCTGGGACGTTTCCCACCTGGTGGTCTAGAGCCCACACCTGTAGGCTCGCAGTAGGCAAAGCATAGGAGGAAAATAAAACCGGTTTAATATTCTACAACTGTCATTCTGCCCCCACTGGGGGGTGGGGGCGCTGCGCGCCCAGCACCGCGCCCAACACCCTATACACATTGTCGGGCAGATGGTCCAGGAGCATGCGCGGCATCACTTTCAGCTCCATAAAATCCTCGGCGGTCGCCCATCGCATCTCGTAGGCGGGGCTTTTCTTGCGCGCCACTATGTGCAAAATGCGCCCAGCGATGAAGAGGCGTGTCTTGCTGAAGCGGCGCACGCTCAAGTCGCGCGATAGCAGCGCCGCCTCCTGTCAAACAACCCAATCAACAACTGGCCACTTCCAATCGAGTGTAGGCAACTGACTTACCACTGTGGGAATGGCGCGGTCGCCCAATAGGGGCGACCGCAACGGTTCCCCCTCCATGTCGTCGCGCCAGGTGGCCTCCAGGTCGCGAGATGGCACCCCAAACAGCATGTATCCAAGGCCGTTGAGCAGGATGCGATACTGAAACTTTCCAGCTAGTCAATCGACGCATTTGCAACAGATGGCGCTAGCTGCCCCCTTTTTTAGTTCTAGACACTGCTGACAGTGGCGGTTTCTCATAGTTTCTAAGGATATTTGAGACATTCTTGGGGCGATTTTCGCGCTGCTACCGCGGTCTTATAGGAAATTTCCTCAGGAATCCAGTGGCGTTTGATTTTTTTCAATAGCATCAAAACTAACAAAGTTGTCCTTAAATGGGTGCTCGAACATCTGATATCAACCATGTTTGCCTAGCAGTTTTTTCGGCCAAAAGCGGGTCTTATGGGAAATTTCCTCAGGAATTCAACGGAGTTGGAATTTTTCCACCTGCATCAAAACTGACGAAGTTGGCCCTCAAAAAAACCCCAACTTCATACGCTGATATCTCCCAGGTTTCTCGAGCGATTTTCACCATCGAAACCTGGTCTTTAAGGAAATTTTCTCGGCAATCGAGTGCAGTTTGATTTTTTTCAATAGCACCAAAACCAGCAAAGTTGCCCCAAATTGACCGCTCGAACCCCGGATATCTTCCAGGTTTGCGCAGCAATTTTTTCGGAGAAAAGCGGGTCCTAAAGGAAATTTTCTCAGGAATCCAATGGAGTTGGAAGTCTTTCAACTGCATCAAAACTGACGAAGTTCGACACAAAAAACGCTGAAACCTCTTGAACGCCTCGGACAATTTTTCTTATCGACACGTGGTCTTACAGGAAATTTCCTCAGGAATCCAATGGTGTTTGATTTTTTTCAATAGCGCCAAAACTAACAAAGTTGCCCCGAATTGGCCTCTGGAAACTCTGATATCTTCCAGGTTTGCTAAGCAGTTTCTTCAGAGAACAGCCGGTCCTAAAGGAAATTTCCTCAGGAATTCAACGGAGTTGGAATTTTTCCACCTGCATCAAAACTGACGAAGTTGGACCCAAAAAAAATCCCAAATCAAAACGGATGTTTTTCGGCCAAAAGCGGGTCTTATGGGAAATTTCCTCAGGAATCCAATGGAGTTGGAAGTTTTTCAACTGCATCAAAACTGACGAAGTTGGGCTTCAAAAAAACCTCAACTTTATACGCTGATATCTCCCAGGTTTCTCGAGCGATTTTCCCGGTTAAAACGCGGTCTTGCAGCAAATTTCCTCAGCAATCCGATGCCGCTCGACTTTTTCCAGTAGCACCAAAACTAGCAAAGCGGCATCAAGGCCGAACTCACCTTGGGCAGTCGGCTGGCGTGCAGCGTCTGAACGATTCCAGTGCGCAGATTTTCGATGCTGTCGACGCCCAGCCGCATGACGAAATCGTCGCCCACGCCGATCGTGAACACGAAACTCTCCGATAGGCGTGCCGCCTCCCTGCTGAGCAGCCCCGCTGAAACCCCGCCCACCGCATGGTTAGCGCCGATGTGGCAACAGGGCTGGAGGCTTACCGGGCGTGCAGAACGCATAGACTTTGAGCTCGGGGAATCGGGGGCGCAGCTTGAACCCGAGCAGACAGGCCACGCCCGCGCCCAAGCTGTGCCCCGTCAACACCAGGCCGTAGTGCGGGAACATGAGCTGCGCCCGCTGCAGAATGCGGCGTTGGCGCAGCTTGCGCTCAATGTAGGCGGCGCCCTCTATCATCCCCTTGTGCGCCATCGTGTCGCTGGGCACGCCCTCTGCCTCGAATCGGGCTGAAGTCGCTGTCAAGTCGGTGAAGATGTCGCGCAGCGAGATGGAGCCACGGATCGCCACCACGATGTTGCCGGTTTGGTGGTCGGCGATGATGCAGAACGGCAACTGTGGACGTTTGGTCAGTTGGCAGGTGACAGTTCGACACTGGCCAGCGCCACCTACCTCAAACACGTGGTTGCGAAACGAGGCGAACAGCACATCCTGGTCGCGCACCTTCGCCAGTTGCTTGACGCCCGCTAGATGGCAGAAGCAGCAGTTGTCGTCCACCACGCGGCTGTAGGCGGGGCCTAAGCAGGCGCAGCAGCTGACGTGTTTTAGCAGGCGGCACAGGCCGGAGCCGCAGTGCATGTACATGACAAAGGGCCAGCCGTAGGCGGCCATGGACAGGCGCAGAAAATGGCGCGCATTCTCCAAGTTCATCCAGCGCGGCGCCATCGAGAACACCTTCTGCGCATCACTCGAGTACTTCGGCTCGTCATTGGTCAGCATGTGGATGCGCCGCATCTCTCTGCTCTCCTTTTTCTGCTTGATGCGCAGCAGGACGCACCCGGCCAGAACATCGGAGGGGACCAGATCGGTGCTGCGGAACAGCGCGCTCAGCAGAGCGGCCACCTGGACCCAAAATCGACCAATTAGAACAGTTGAAATTCGATTTTCTTCAAAACGGTTTTTATGGTTAGCTGCACTGGAGCCAAGCGGAAATTTCGTCAAGAGTGACTTTTTTCGATGGGAGTCACCGTTCAGGAGCAAATGGCCAAAAACCCGTTTTTGGCGCAATCGCCACGCCCTCTCCCTAGGGGCCGCACACCTTGAAACTGAACGCAAAATTTTGGAAAAAATTGCAAAAAATCCAAAAAATTGCCGAGATGTTGGGACAAATTACATAAAAAATCCGGCGGTTTTCCAAATAAATTTAAGCGACTAGAAACCATGAATGTATGGGGTTTTTTGCAAATTTCTCGAAAACCCCATTATCTAGGGACCGGGGATTTTTACTGGTACATCCGCTGAAAAAAGGCGGAAATTTTATAAAAAGCGACTTTTTTTGATTTATGCTGTCGTTTAGGGGCAAATGACCAAAAACCGATTTGTTTGTAGAATGACCACGCCCTTTCCCTAGGGGCAGTAAACCTTGAAACTAACCGTAAATTTCTAGAAAAAATTGCAAAAGCTCTACAAAATTCTGGGGATTTTTCAAATGTGCGAAAATCACCAAGTTTGTTTTTTCAAATTTTTTTGTTCAAATTTTCAAGTTTATTACTATTTTTTCAAAAACCGTGTCATGTAGAGGCTTCGGGTTGTCACTGCTTGATCCGTTCGAATGAGCTGAAAATTTCACGAAAAGCACCTTTTTCCCATTTAAGCTGTCGTTTAGGCGCAAACCCAGATTTTTGCGCAAGCACCACGCCCTTTCCCTAGGGGCTGCAAACCTTGAAACTAAGCGAAAAGTTCCGAAAAAAATTGCAAAAATCCTATAAAATTCCGGGCATTTCGGGGAAAAAGACGAAAACATTCCAACTGCTTTCCAAATGTGCTTAAAGGACTCAAAACCACGAAATTTTTAAGTTTATTGCAATTTCTGCCAAAACCGTTTCATGTAGAGACTTCGGGTTGTCACTGCTTGATCCGCTCGCACCAGCTGAAAATTTCACCAAAAGCACCTTTTTTCCATTAAAGCTGTCGTTTAGGAGCAAACCGTGCTTTTGGCCCAACCACCACGCCCTTTCCCTAGGGGCTGCAAGCCTTAAAACTAAGCAGAAAATTCGGGAAAAAATTGCAAAAACCCTAGAAAATTCCGGGGATTTGGGGAAAATTAACGAAAAAATTCCAAACGGACCCGAACAATTAAAAACCACGCAATTGTCGCACGCGCACGCACCCCAAAACACGCTCTGTCTCGCTCAGTGCTTGTGCGGCAGACAAAGATCACTGTACCTGCTGGAAGGCTTCGTGGCCATGCTCGTCGGAGCGCACCCAGCAAAAGGCCCAGCGGAAGCGCCGCTTCCACACGCTGGTTCCCTTGCGATGGCGCAGCGACTCGCCGACGCTCGGCGTCTCGTGCAGCGCATGGTAACGTTTCGACCCGAGCGGATCGAAGACCATCACCAGGCCGAAGACGGCCAATCCGAACAGCACCCAGTTGAACACCACTAAGGCTGCGGAACGGTCATTGTGAGCCCCGATAGGGGGCAGCAGCGCCTACCTTCGATCACTGTGCGCGAAAAGTGTCCCTCGTATGGACAAACCACCAGGTCCCGGCAAAACGCCCACATGGTGCCGCACACGTTCAGCGCCATCTCGGGCAGGATCAGGAACAGTTTCAGCAGCAAAATGGGCGGCACTAGATGGCGCGCCTGCACCTCCGTGATGGAGCCCTGGGCGCTTTGGTGGACCAGCGCGCCCAGCACCAGCACCACTGCGCCCAACAGCGCCAACATTCCTGGAAAATTCCGCAAATTCCTGCAGGGGCGACAGAGGGCGCAATACCTCCGGTATTGCGCTCTCTGTCTGGTTGCTAGGTTACCGATCATGTAGGCGCGCACATACTCCCCACCACGAGCGCAGCGCCACGTGTCGTCATAGTAACCGATGTGGACGCACACCAGCAGCACCAACCAGAGGGCGCGCAAGCTGATCTCGAACAGGCCGGGGTAGACCAGGTCGTCCGAGGCGGCCAGCCATTTTCTGCCGAAAAGACGAAGAGCCGGCATCGCTGTAACCGATCGGAATTGCCTGCAATTAGCGCCCGGACTATTATTAATCGGTCTTAAAGTGAAAAACCATGTTGCTGGTGACAATTACAGTGGTTCGAATGCGCGCTAATTGCCCGATTGCGCAACAGCGCCGCTTTCTTGCCTCCAGGCCAACGTCGCATCTGCACCTGGGGAGTAGAAATGGGCTCGGTATCGACACAAACCTGCGAATTTTGCCCCAAATTCACATTTTATTTTTTTGCGCCCAAACGAAGCCCTCTAGCGAAAAATGCTGCTCTTTATAAAAAAATGCTGCTATCACAGGGCATCCAGCGCGCATTTTTTTAGGCCTCTACCCTAAAGAGTTTTCGCACAAATGTCGAAAACAAAGTTTCCAAAGACACCTTCATATCTCCAATACCATACCGGACCGAAAAGTTCTGAGCACCCCACTGGATGGCGGACATTAAACTGCACAAAAAAGTCGGTATTCATTTTTTTCAGCAATCAAACACTAAGCGAGCTACAGCCGATTTTTGGATTTCCCCCCAATTTTCCCGGAAATTTGGGAAATTCGAAAAACTTCCAACGCCCGATTTTTGGTGAAAACTCCACTCAATGGCCCCTAAAAAAACCCAAAACAAGCAAAACCGCCCAAATTCAATGGGGAAATTTCGAAAAAATCGCCATCTTCAGGGCTCGACAGCGTTTAAGCGGGTGGCATCCCCCCTGGGACCCCAATGCGACCGCCAGTAGGTTGAAACACGATCCGACAAACACTGTGTGCAAAATTGGGGACTTTTGGGGCAAAATTGGGGATTTTATGGAGGTCTGAAGACCGCGCCCCCATAAGAGCCTGTACTGGGTGAACGTTCTTTCCCCCCTGGCTCGGTTGGGGAATTTTCCCCAGAACAATCCACCACTGCTCTTCGTGCAGTTGGTCCACGAGCCACGCCCTGTGCACGAAAATTTCCGAAAAGACACTTTTGATTTTTTGCCCGAAAATTTCCCCTGACCGAAACCTGGGAATTTTGCTCGAATTTCACATTTTATTTTTTTGCGCCCCAACCAAGCCACTAAGCAAAAAATGCCACTCTTGCTAAAACATCTGGGATGCCAACAGCCATCTAGGGGTGATATTGTAACACTTCTATCTGGAAGGGTTTGGGCACAAATGTCAAAAACGTGTTTTTCAAAAAAACGTCTATATCTCCAAAACCAAACCTAGTAGAAAAATTCTGACGTCACTACTGAATCGGAAAGCGCCAGCTGCAAAAAAAAGTTGGTATTCATTTTTTTCAGAAAACAAACACTAAGCGAGCTACAGCCGATTTTTGGATTTCCCCCCAATTTTCCCGGAAATTTGGGAAATTCGAAAAACTTTCAACGCACAATTTTTGGTGACAATTCCACTCAACGGCCCTCAAAAAACCAAATACAAGCAAAACCGCCCAACTTCAATGAAGAAATTTCGAAAAATCGCCATCTTCAGAGCTTCAA